GAAACAGTAAGGCCAGTCCCAGAGTGGCTTGCCTAGCTCGCACCGTGCAAATGAACGTATACATTATCGTGTGCCTGACTGAGCAGCGTCGCTGTATCTGTCCCCTTCGTTTTATGCAAGAAAAATTCTGAAATTATGCAAACTGAACCCAAAAATGTGAAATTATGGGATTCTGTTAATTTTAACAAAGAATGATTAGGGAAAAAAATCAGAAATTATGCCCAAAAATGATCAAATTTTGCTAAATTTATGCGCGGTGCATAAAACCACGGGGACAGCTGTATGGTCTGTCTGTTGTCCGCTGAACTTCGCGACGTTTCAGACGTGCTATTCAACGTGTGCTTCTAGCCTAGTGCGGCTGGGCTGACACGCAGACGGCGTGAGCTTGGCGACTACAGGTCAGACCAACAGAACCACTCTGGGACCGGCCTTCGATCGCGACAGAGACAGAAATATATGGTTGGTAAGAAGACAAAAAGAACTTCACGAGACATTACTTACGAACTTCTAAACTGAGAACGTTCTTCGTGTAGACAACTAGCTCAAAATACGACTGACAGTCTCCGGTCTTGTTGGGGCTGGAGCTCACGGTGAGGTAGATCTTCCTTTCATTGCCCTTTTCCTCTATAAACAATATAACAGGCCTGTTTGACTTGGCCTCGCTGCTGAAATCACTGAGGGCAGCACTGGGCAGGCTGGTGGAGAAGGAGCCGTATATGTCCACATGCCCGCTGTCCGGTCGTACCTAGGAAGGGGGATAGATAATGATGATGATGGTGATAATAATACAACTACTGATAATGATAATAATTGTAATAATGATAATAGATAAATAATTACATTTTGTTTATCAGCGTTGAGAAATTTGGATTACAAAGGCAAACATGCATACGTAAATACACAATTAGAAATACATACATACATAATTACATAAATACACACGTAAATACATAACATAAACACAGGGGTGGACTGGGTCTTAAAACCGGCCAGGGCATTTGTCATCCGTACCGGCCCACTAAAGTCTGGTAAAACACGCAAAGCCAACATGTTTCTAAGCCTCCATACTATTTTTATGTTACTAGTTAGAGCACAGAAACAGACGAAAACACTCATATTGTATTTGTGTGTGTCTTTGGATGTGTGCACATGTATGAGCGCGTATTTGTGTGTGTACGTGTGAGTGTACGTTATGTATGTATGTATGTATGTATGTATGTATGTATGTCTGTCTGTGTGTATGTATGTATGTATGTATGTATGTATGTATGTATGTATGTATGTATGTATGTATGTATGTATGTATGTATGTATGTATGTGC